AACATAATGTAAACTCTGCTAATTACATAAAAATGAAAGTGACAATTGAGCATTAACGGGCAGCCTTTCTTCTCAACTGGCCCGTACCATCAAAATTTTACTGTGCATTATGGTTTAGGGTGATATATGAAATCAGCCACAACATTAATATTTATGAGCAGTGCCTGACAAATGTATCAGATTTATGTCAGAGAAATGTATTAATTAAGCAAAATAATTAAAGGAAAACAAGTTAATTATTCACTATGGTTCACAAATCTTTGAACACAATTATTTTCAATTATCAGAAAGCACATTTACCTTAGAAGTGCTGGAATGATATTTCATAATCCAAACCAAATACCGGAATTTTCACAAGCATTCATGTCTAGAAATCCAAATTTATAAATCCAAGCACTGATGTCTTCTTTTGTTAACCATTTGAAGGTTAATAAAATGAAGCATCCAACCCGCTGAACTTATTTATTTATTTAATTTATATTGCCGCCTATTTGCCCATGACGACTCATAACTTGATAAGGGATTTAAATATAGCATCTTGGTAGATGTTCTGTTTCACTGACATTCACTTTTCTTATCTATTCAGTAAAAATAAAAGGTTGCAATGTTACATACTAGCTCATATTAATACTTGTATTATAAAAATAATACCAACCATAACTGTAAACAAATTTACTAAGGATTTATTTAATTGCTTGTCAGTTATACTGAAACATACTTTCTCTATTTTTAGCTATACTGAATATGCTTACTCAGGAATGTAAGAGCCTTGGTAGTACAGTGGTCTAAAGCACCCTGTTATTAAGACCAGCTGCCTGCAATTACTGCAGGTTCGAATCTCGCCAGGCTCAAGGTTGACTCAGCCTTCCATCCTTTCTAAGGTAGGTAAATTGAGGACCCAGTTGTGGGGGCAATAAGCTGACTTTGTATAAATATACAAAAAGGATGAAGGCTATTGCTTAGCGCACTGTAAGCTGCCCTGAGTCTCCGGATAAGGGCGGCATATAAATCAAATTAAAAAAAAAAAAAGGAATATGTGTGCTGCAGATATAATTTACAGGTAGTCCTCATTTAGTGACTATAGTTGGAACCAGCAACTCAGTCATTAAGCAAAACTATTTCTGGGCTTACAATCCTATTTCAGCTTTCCTTTGCTTTACTGACCTGCAAAGGTCATAAATGCAAGAATTGATCATAAAATTACTTTTTTATTACCATCTTCATTGTGATGGCCACTAAACAAGGCGGCCAGCACGCAAGGACTATCTGTATATCTAAAGATGTAACTATAGAGCATTGTCAGTGCAAATTCACTCAGAATTAAGCCCTATTAAGTTCAATGACAGCAAAAGTGTGCCAGATTGCAAACTACCATTCTTGATCAAAACTGCTGAATAATAGGACTATTAAACATCACCAATTGGGAATTGTTTTCTTAAGAGCTGAAGTCATATGTTATACTTTGGAGCTCTATTTCTGGAAATGTATTTTCACTTGATAAAATATCGAGGCAAGCCCTTGTTTTAATCTGTTTAGGTAATTCACCTAAATTATGATAATTAGACTACCATTGTTATTAATATAGTTTAAACTAAATACTTAGGTGAAGTCCCAAACTTAGACTGTCCAAATTTATTATAATGTCAACTCTTAGATACTCTTTGTGGCTCTTGAGACTTTAAGGAGCTGCAGTCTCAACAAACATGAAATGGTCCAAGATTGGAGAAACCAGCTTGCTTCCAACTTTCTTAAGAGTTACATTTTAATTGCAAATTACTAAAAGATTGTTTATAAGGCATTATTAATATACAGTTGTAATACTGAGTTAAAACTGATGAGCTAAACCACAGCTATCCCTCATTTAATGACCATAATTGGGATAGGCAGCTTGGTTGTTAAGTGAAACTAAGTGAAACCAGTATTGCCAAGAAATAAAAAGAGTGAATGAGTGCATCCTCCAATTTTAGGATTAATCATTAAAGCAAGCTTTAATTTAGATAAACTGCATACATTTTATTTTATAAAATTTTGATCTTTTGGAAAGTACACAATTACACTGACTGGGTTCACATATCATATCAATACCAAACCGCGACCCAGTTTGGTCTAGTGGTTAAGACACCAGACTACAAAGTGAGAAACCATGAGTTCAAGTCTCGCCTTAGCCACAAAAGCTCGCTGGGTGATTTTGGGCCAGTAGTTGTTGTTGTGAGGAAAACAGAAGGAGGGAAGATGCGTTGGATATGTTTGCTGCCTTGAGTTATTTGTAAAAATAATAAAGGCAGGATACAAGTAAATAAAATCATGCCAAACCATTTTCATGACTTTAATCTTTAAAAGGGAGAACGTGCAGAACTACATATTGAAACTACATAGAAACACAGCAGTTTCTATACTCCAAATTACAGAAGCAGCCATCTAAAATCCTAGGCTTGACTCTTCTGTTCTCAGAGAAAAGCTCTTGATGTCAACACGCAGTAAATTAACTGAAAGGTAATAAAAGAGAATCTGAAAAGTTCCTGAAGAGAAAGACATCATCAAGATAGACAGATTAAAGTACTGAATCACACACTCACACACACATACACACATACAATATTTCAGGGATGAGATGAAATACCAGCATGAGATGGTTCAGCAAATAAGAAATGAGGTCTCTCTTCTTGCACCAACTTCATTGAAGCATTCTGCTAAAATTTGCACATATTCATCATTAGTTTTCAGTTGAAAAAAATACTATATAAAGCAATGCTTCCTAGACCTGGGTGTATGACCCAAAATTGATAAAAATGAGTTTTCTGGGGTAACAACACATGAACCCACTACTCAGTCATAACAATTACATTTAAATTGACTTAAAGTTGTTTTACTTACTGTACATTGGGTAAAAAGGCATTCTAATAAGCAGCTTTTGAGTAATGAAGGAAAAAGTTTGGGAAGCATTGCTATAAAGTAAGTCTGTAATTTAACGGACTAATAGTGACTCTTAATACAGGAACTTCATTAAATCCTTTAACTCCATTAAATCCTATCTTGTGGTTGTTCACCGCCCTGAGTCCTTCGGGAGTAGGACGGTATACAAATCAACTAAACTAAACTAAACTAAACTAAACTAAACTAAACTAAACTAAACTAAACTAAATCCAAATGGCAAATTTGGAAAAATATTACAAAGAAGATTTTACAGACACTGCAGACAAACACAGCAGTATCCAAAGTCTAAACCAAAAGAATACTGTGTATTTATAAATTAGATAATGACCCTAACAAAGCCTGACCATACAATGCAACCAGGATGCCAATGGTTTGGCTGAATGATCTTACAAGCCAGGATCCACTGGCAGTTAGAAATGTATAAAATTCTGCAACAAATATCAATTCTGGAAAGTCTGCTCCTCCACTCCACTAGGGCACATATGTGCATAGCAATTGATTTGGTCTGTTTTAGTGTTTTCTATGGATGCTTCACTCTAGCTTATAAACCATGATTTATGGATTGTCTTGCTTCAGTCCAGTTCATTATGACTTACTTGATAAACTAGAAAAGCACAATTGCAACATGCAAAACTAGTTTCTGTTACATTTATACTGCAAACTGAAACTTTGCAATATCTCCCCAAAACTTTTTTAAGATAAAGTCTGTGAAATGAAACTTCACTGTAACAATCTACCCCAATCCAAACCCTTTGGGGGGGGGGGGGGGTTTGCTTAACTCCTTGTGTGACCTTGTAAAATTGTTTGTGGGACTTGTAATTCAAAAAATGCCCTAGAACAGGGAAGACCTCATTGGAAAACCTTAGTCCCCTTCAGAAAAATAGGGAAAGATGGTGCATTTATGGTGCTGGCACAGCATAAAAAGAAAAGAGAAAAAACTACTGGACCTGATTAAAATCTACTGAGAACTCACAAAATACTACAGAATGTTGAAAACTCACAAAATTCCACAGTATGTGTAAGACAAAAAAGTTACAGATACAGTAAATGAAATAAAGTACAGGAAACAAACAGGAACAATGGGACGGAGAAAAGAGATTGCAAAAAATAGGATAAAGCTAAACAAAAGGAGGCGCAGATGACAAGAAATGGAAAATAAGTAAAAGTCCCAAAACAGCAGGGGAAGATGCCAAAGATCTGCAATAAATAGTATTTTCAGAAGTACGTCATGAAGCTAGAACAAAACTGCCTGAAAATCTCTGTCTTAACGAAGGCCTTTGTGAGCTTATAAAATGGTCCAAGTCCAAGCATCCTTCTTTTTCAAAACAAAGAGTTATCTGGTGGTTCCAGCCTTGTACAAATTTTGCCTCTGTAGGAAAAAGCCACCAGCCACCTGCATTCCACCCACACAGATTCACCCTGGACCACTTCTTCCAAATCCACTTTCCCTTCAATTAAGCATTTTTTTAAAAAAAATATATTATTCAACCAGCCCCACATACTCACAAGAATCCCTCTTTCACTCTACATTTAGAGAAGTCGCATCTCAGCAGGCAAATACTTTCTTCCGCCTAATACCCAAACTGCCTTACATAAGTGGATCCAACTTGACCCCAATGGACATCAGCAAAATCAACCCATAAGACCTGGGGGCTGATCATCAGACCCAAGTGGATTTTATGCGAGGCAGGGCTAACCCTTCCAGAAAATCAGAGTACCTTTCCACGGAAAACTTTTTGCTCATTACAAAGGACGAAGAGAGAAACTTACATCAGCAGCTCACCTTCCTTTTCCTCTAGCTTGCTGGGGGTGGGGAGGGGGGAATAAAAACCAAGATCCTTGAAGTAATTGTTGGAAAAGTTTTACAAGTCTTTGGGAAAGTTCAAGAAGTGAAAGAAATACCCTCTTGAAAGACCAGATAAGGCAGACAGGGAGATGAAGAGTTCATCCGAGTTTTCTCTTTTGTTCAAGCTCCCCGATCAGACAAAGAACTAGCGAGCAGCAGGTTTCTCCCCCTTTCCCTCCCATCTCTCTTCCCCCAACCCTTGGTTCCAGCAGCAACTCACCAACTTCAGCCGCACTTACTCCTTCGAAACGTCTGGATCCCGAGATAAGATAAAGAAATATATATATATACACAGAGAGAGATAGGCGCAGGCTGTTGGGTTTCTCGCCTCATCCCTAACTTCCAGTTTCAAAACTTCCCTCTAAGTGAGCCTCCCAGAAAAACAATCTTAATGGAGGCGGAGGAGGCAAGGAGAATCCCTCCGATCGTTATTTCCGGCAAATGCACCTCTTTGTTTGGATCCCCTTGACAGGCGCAGAGAACGATCCCCCCCCCTCGCAATCCGGCAGGGTGGGCGCGGGATCCTCTCACCCTTCCCAAAGACGAAAAGCGGGGCTTTTAGGAAACCAGGATGGGAGTTGTGAGGAGTGGAAGGGCTACTCAAGCGTCGCGCTGGGAGGAGGGAGAGAGGGAGGGGTGGGGGACGGGAAGCAAGTTTTGGGTGAAGCCGCTTTCCTTTCACTTTTGGAAGCGCATCCAGGCGAGGAGAACAAAAGGGTCACCGCGGCCGGGACTCGGCGCGCAGCTTTTCCCGGCTTCTGACATCGCTACCTGTTGCACAGGCAGAAGAAGCAGGGAGGGGTGGAAGCGAGAGCATCCAGCGCACAACAAAGCGCCAGCCTTTTCACCTGTCCTCCTCCTCCTCCTCCTCCTCCTCCTCTTCAGGAGCAGCTAAAGCCACTTGACTCGCTCCACAATACATTGGGGGAGGGGATTGGAAAGCAAAGCAAAGCAAAGCAAAAAAGAAGAAGAAGAAGCGGCCGGCAAAGGCGCATCTGCTTTTGCAAAAACACCGGCGTCTTTCAAGAGTCGCGCAGAAGCAACAAGTCGCAGCCCCAGACCGCTTCACAAACGGCGAAGCACAGCCGGTCCGACCCGCTGCTGGGAGTCCTGATGCTCTTAACTCCTCTCCAAAGTAACCCGTTTACCATCCAGAGAATCGCAAATTGTGGCGGAGCAAGGAAGAAGCGTGGCCCCCCCCCACCCTCCCCGATTCTGTCGCTGCTAAAAGAAAATCCGGGGAGGAGGGAAGGGGGTTGACTGTTGATCTTCTAAATGACGGACGGGAATCAAGTGTCTACTTACCCCCCCACCCCCCACCCCTCCAGACGGTGGCGCGGGTCTAAAGCATCTCCCGCTTTAGATCTCCCACTTTAGTGTCCCCACATCACCGCGTGTAAGTTTGTCGGGCCAATTTTCCCATGTCTCGAGGAAAACAACGCACTGAAACGAAGGTGTGAAAGTCCACCGAGTAGAAACCGAACCACTGATAATATGGCCCCACGTAAAGTCCACACACACACACACCCCATCTCCCTCACTACCGCTCTGCCAGAAAATAAACTCTACGTTCATCCACGTGCGTTAAAAAAATGGAAAGGGGCAAGAGCTGAGGGAATATAGAATTGTATAAAGTCTATGCAGCCGTTCGCCAAATGCTTGCATGCACTTTTGTGGACGAATACAAAGGGAGCCTGTGCTGAAAATGTTGAAACCAGGCGAAAGCTAAAACTCTTTCTTCGCACGTGCTTGCGACCGACAGCCTGCTTCGCCCACCCTATTGGACCCCTAGAAGAGAGCGGGAAAATCGAGATGACGTCACCTTTGCAATCCAGTCTCTGCACTTCTGAGCTGGATTTTCAACAGCGCTTCGTTTGGAATTCCTAATCTATGCTACTTTACTATATATACTCTTGCCCTCAATGTAGTAGGGCTGCTGTAGCAGTGCAGAAGATCTAAGGGGCTGGCCTTAAGGATGTAAAGCAAAACTAGGCAACATTTGGAGGTGGCTCAGTGGCTAAGACACTGAGCTTGTCCATCAGACAGGTTGGCGGTTCAAATCCCTACTACAGGTCTCCTGCGTGAGCAGGGGGTTGGACTAGATGACCTCCAAAGTCCCTACCAACTCTTTTACTAGATGACCTCCAAAGTCCCTACCAACTCTGTCTCAACCTTCTGAGGTAAAATGGGAACTCACAAAATGACTGCCTCAGCAGATATTTTTTTTCCCTGTTTCCAAATGAGTGGCTGTAGCCAGTGACAAAAGACCATTTAATGAAATGTGATCTAATCCATTAGGATGCTGCCTATCATTCATGGGAAACTATGTGGGGTCAAAGGCACTGCTACAACTAAATGCTGTCCTGGAGGTTCCTGCTTCACTTTACAGCATGATAGCATCCTATTTAATCCTGTTATCAGAAGACATTTTAAGGAAAATTGGATGAGTAGTAGATTATGGACCCTCAAAGAGGTTTTTCAAAGAAATGTACGTCAGCAGGCACCACATATTTCTGTGGCTTTAATGCATCTGCAGAGAGACTTCCTGCCCCCCTGGTGACACATTTCTTGAGTAAAGAGGGCTTGGAAGATCCTTTGCAAGTCCACCCAGAAGAATTTGCTCAGTATATGCCAGAAATGCTTAAATTCACTCACAATTGGACACTTGTCTTACTGTAGTTTCAGGGAGATGCCTTGTCTAGTTTTCTTGGAACAGTTTGAACCTGTTTGGCCTAATGAAGTGGGACAGAGTCCTTAGGGCTGTGAGCTCTGTCACCTATTCTTTAAATCAGATCTCTTCAAACTTGGCAACTTTAAGACTTGTGTCCCAAAGGTGCTTTTTCAAGAGGCACCTGGACTTTCTGATTTTTCTTCGAAGACATTTCGCTTCTCATGCAAGAAGCTTTTTCAGCTCTTTAAGACTTGTGGACTTCAACTCCCAGAATTCTTCAGCTAGCCTGGCTGGCTGAGGAATTCTGGGAGTTGAAGTTCAAAAATCTTAAAAGTTGCCAAGTTTGGAGAGCCCAGCTTTAGATCCATGCCCCTCCTGGCTTGTTAAAGCAAGCTAGGGAGATGGTGTGTTAGTGTGCTCTGGTGATGGTGAATTCTTTTTTGAGTGAATGAGTTGTTCCTTTACCTCTTAAGGAGTACTTGGTCCACACTCTCAAGATGTCATCACTGGAACCCATGATACTGCATAATTTTCATCCAGTATCCAACTTTCCCTTTTTGGAGAAGGTGATTGAGAAGATGGTTGTACCACAGCTCCAGGAGGCCCTTGATGAATCTGGACCCTTTTCAGTCAGGATTCAGATCTGGATAAAGGACAGAAATTGCATTGGTTATGTTTTTGGATGATCTCTGGTGTTGGCAGGATAACGTTCTGTATCCATCCTTTCCTTAGTTTATTTATTATATTTATATGTTGCCAATCTCACTGTTATGCTAATTCTGGGTGGCTTATAGCATAATTAAAAATGAAAAGATAATAAAAATACTTTGCTTGATCTTTTGGCAGCTTTCGAGACCATCAACCATGGTAAACCTGGATCAACTAAGATGATTGGAGGTAGATGGCAGAAATACAGTGTTGTATTTCTCCAGGATCGATTCTAGTTGGTAGTGATTGGGGAGGAGAGATGAGATCCCATCCTAAGTCCCTATTATGTGGCATGCTGCAGAGATGGCTGCTTTCTCCTCTCATTTTTAAAATCTACATAAGACTGCTGAGTGAGCTCATCCATTGCCATGAGTGAGGTATCATCAATATGCTGATGATACCAAATTGTAGATCTCTGCTCTTGAGGAACTAAGAAATGCTGTGGACATCTTACCCTGGTGTCTAGAGAGTGTGAGAGTCTGAATGGGGAACAACAGGCTTCAACTGAACCCTGGCAAGACTGAGTGGCTTTGGGTCTTGGGACCCTCTGTTTCTGGGACAATGCCATGTTTGGTGCTGGATGACATTACAGGTACAATCTGTGGATCTTCCTGGTTTCACAACTCCTATTCAATGAGCAGGTGGCACTCGTGGTTAGAAAGGCCTTTGCACAATTTTCTATTGTGTGCCCATTGAGCCCATTTCTGGATTGCAGGCTCTACTCATGGTTACTCATGCCCTCATCACCTCCTGGTTATACTACCACAATGTAATCTACATGTGGTTGTTCTTGAATTGTATCTGGAAACTTCAGAAAGTGCAAAATGCAGCAAAGCAGGCAAGTTATCTATCACCGTTTTCCTGGTGGAACCCCTCTGCCCTGCAAACTGCATTGGTTGCCAGTTTGTTTCCAGGTCTAATTCAAGATGCTGTTTTTGAACTTTAAAGCCCTACATGGCATGGGACTGATTTATTAGGGGGACTGCCTCTCCCCAATTACATCTACCCATCCCATCAGATCTGGTACAGAAAATATACTGCAGGTTCCAACATTTAGGAAGTTATATTTGGTGGGCCCTAGACAGAGGATTTCCTTGACTGTGGTGACCGTGTTGTAGAATATCCTCCCCCGAGGTTAGGATGTCACCATCACTCCTCTGAGTTTCTGAAGGTTCCTCAGTATCATCAAGCCTGGGAATCCCAAGGAAATGGCTATCTAGTCAGGTGGCATCATTAGTACTAACATGCCTTCACCCATTATTTATTTTTATTAATTACATTTTTATAATTTTTAATGTCTTAATAATACTAATTGCTATTATTTGTGCATTATCCAAGGGAGATGGGTGGTTAAGAAATACAAAATATAAATAAATTGTTGGGGTTTTTTAAAACTTTGTTATATGCCTTCCAAAGTCACTTGCTTTGTGATGTGGGCAGCTATATAAATTTGAAAGATGGAAAAATAAATATGCATGAATTTGAACAAAACACTGGACATTTGCAAGGAAGGGCAAAGTGACATAATGTGTATCATGATATCTTTGCACAAATAAGGCAAATTGTTTATATCATTTTACAGAGATGTCATGATGCAATTTTTAAAAAATTCCTGATAACAATCTAGTACATTAGGAAGAATAATTTCTGGTTTAGGCAATGTATTTCCTTATTCCAACAGAAGAGAATATAGGCAGCTCAGGGCTGAACTATGGAGTTCTTGGTGCTCTCTAAGTTTGGTTGTTTGCTTGTAGACATTTCATTACACAACCAGGTACCATCAGTTCCTAGAACAGAGACAAAGAGATATCATCTCCGGCAGCCAATACTCAGATAAGTAGAGATAAACAGCAGACAAACAATCAGGCAGAAAATAACATTCTAATCATGGAAGCACCAAGGAGGAAGTTGTCCTACCACCAAAATTGGCAGGGCAAACTACTATTTATAACAAGCATCAAACCCCACTGATGATGTAACCTAGTTGGATAATAACAAATTTGCAAGTAAACAGCCAAGTTCAGAGAACACCAAGAACTCAAGATTTTCTACTTCCAGAACTAAGCTTGGCCATGTGTTTTGTGTTCTCCCATCTCCTGCAATTAACCTAATTTGAGGATTTTACCAGTCTATAGCATCATTCCACTTTTTTTTTTTTTTATTTGATTTATATGCTGCCCTTCTCCGGAGACTCAGGGCAGCTTACAATGCGTTAAGCAATAGCCTTCATACTTTTGTATATTTATACAAAGTCAGCTTATTACCCCCCAATCTGGGTCCTCATTTTACCTACCTTAGAAAGGATGGAAGGCTGAGTCAACCTTGAGCCTGGTGAGATTTGAACTTGCAGTAATTGCAGGCAGCTGATGTTAATAACAGTGCTTTAGTCTGCTGCGCTACCAGAGCTCCTTTATTAATCTCCTAGATGAAAAAAATCCATAGGGCCCCCTGCACACTGTGTTTAAGAAGTTTCTGGAAACCTGGCTTTCTCCCCAGCCCTTGGATTAAAGTAGATGATGAATCTCTTTGATTTTTTTTTTCTACTTGCTCTTGTTTGTTTGCTGTTATGGATGTTTATTATTTTCTTTGTTGTTGTTATTCTGACTTTTTTTAATGCTGTATGCCTCCCAGAGTGCTTATAGAATTGGGCTGATTTCTTGACAAATTGGTAAGAAGCAATTCTGATTTGTATATTATATGACCCTGGCATATTACTTCTTGAAGAAGTACTGAGCAAGCTACA